AAGTGGCCAGTGAGTGTGTGTGTGTGTGTGTGTGTGTGTGTGTGTGTGTGTGTGTGTGTGTGTATATATATATATATATATATATATATATATATACATATATATATAATACCCATGTAAACACCATGTGCAATACACCTTTATAAATATATATCCTCAAATCTGATTTCACCATGTTTTTGTTTTATGGTATATATTTTTCCAATTTTTTGCAGTTTAATTTATTTTTTTCATCCTTCTGAGGCTCTTTATTTCATCTGTTTTACGACCTTACATCTTTTCCACACAGTGGCACCCGTTGCTGGTTTCCCTCAGGGAGGCAGTGCAGCAGGCCAGCGGATGCACCTTTAACTCCCTGCTGTGCAACTTGTACCGAGACGGACACGACAGCATCGGCTGGCACAGCGATGACGAGGCCTCCCTGGGTCCCAAACCTACCATTGCGTCTCTCAGTCTGGGTGACACCAGAGTGTTTAGCCTTCGCAAGCAGCCCCCAGCGGTGAGATGGGATGCTAACCTCTCTGCTTTTGTGCATCAATCAGGGCATGTCGGCATTATTTTAGGACCTTTCTGTTGGAAGGAAATCAGCTTTATAGTTTCCCATAAGTTAAATCTGCCCCTTTCTTTTTTTAAACACTCATTTTCATTTATTTGTGGTGACAAGATTCCAACCAAAGAAGATGTGGTCTTTTGGCACTCAGGATCTTAGATTTCCTTACTTCTTAGAGTTTGAAGGTTTTAGGTAAGAATGTTTTGTCCTGATCTGCTCATATTAAAGGAGGAAAATGGGGACTACACCTATGTGGAGCGGATTCGGGTTCCTCTGAGCCACGGGACTCTTCTGCTGATGGAGGGAGCGACGCAGGATGACTGGCAGGCATGGTTCATCAATTTAACTAACTTCCTATAATATAACTTTTGTAGGGGTTAGAGGAAAGCCTGTTAGCAGCTACCTGCAAACAAATGTTGGTTTATGACTTGTATAATAGTAAAACAATCAAATAGTTCTTTGTCTATAATTTTGTCTATTTTTTTTTCAAATTTAAGACATATTCAGCCATATTTTACACCAATACAAAAATAGTCTAATGAAATATTGCAATAGATTAATTTTCCCTGTACCCCTAATTATTACTTGAATGCTTTCAGTGCAAATATTTAGTGAGCCTTATTAGCATTTTGTTCACAGCCAAAAACTTCACGTAACTCTTTCCTTACATCACAGGTTCCTGAACGCTAACATTAGTTGTTTCAGGTAGTTTTGTGAAGGAAAAGTTGGTCATAACTCGTATGGAAATAATCTTTTATCTTGTATGTCGTATTCCTCAGATGATTTCATCTGTAATTGTTGAAGCTAGCAGGGAAACCAGCTCTGTACCTTTTCATTTATACCTGATTTAGACAACCATTCGACCTCCAGAGAGCTGTGCTCCTCAGAGGGTGTCAGTTTGGGTTCTGGTGCAGCGGTCAGCAAACATCTCTTGCCAAGTGCATTCTGGGGGAAGTTTAGAGTTAGTTTCTGAGTCCACTAATGTCAAACTGTAAAGATAAACTCAGTATCATGACTAAACTCCCCTGCCTACCTCTGTGTCTAGACAAATGGCACAATTTGGAGGTGTGTGTGCACCTCTGCTAATCTGAGCACTGTGCTAATTTACATGGAGATTGTGGATTGTTCATTTCAGCTGCTTGTTGAGATTATTTCTGAATTCAGACCTCAGATAAGCCACACGACCAAAGATGTGCTACACTGGCTAATACTAAGTGCTAACACGGCAGTATTGCTTTGAAAAGGTCTTGGCAGTCAGAAAGCATCTCAGTGTGTCCCAGCCTTTGCTAACGGGGTCGATTCACACTAAAGACAATAAGGTTCCTTCTGTGACTGATGGGCAGATACAGCCGATGAGCCTTACTGTTATTAAGACTCATTTATTCTAGACTCGGACACTTTCTTGGCTTAAAAGGTGTGGAGACATGTTGCGTACCTGAAGGAGTCTGACACGGTTAGCGGCGTCAATTCACATGAGTAGAATTACTGCTTCACACCAGGGCGTAGAAACTAGAGTTAGGGTTTGGTTTGTTACACTTTGTGTAGAAACATGACACACAAAGATTGAACTGGATTCTCTCTGTTAAACCAAGATAAAGTATCTGCAGTTAGTTTGAATTTCCAACAAACGGATGTTTATTTTAGCTAATATTGTAAAAAGCTAAAGATTTTTGACATAAACTGCAAGTGGTATTTGTAGAAGCACATGTGTTCATTTCATATAGTTATTTGCAAATCTCAGCCTTAGTTTCCAAAATCTGGAATTCCTTAAATAGAAACAGTATGATGTAACAAGAAAAAACAAAACGGGGAGAGTAAATGATTCTGTAAAAAAAAAAAAAAGACATTTTTTAATCTACTGAAAAACTGGTGGCATAAAATAACAAATTCTATTTAAATATAACAGGTGAATAAAAAGTGCCCTCAAGGACTCCTTAAAATGATGAATATCAGTTGTCAGTTAACACAAGTAAACATATGTTCTGTATGTTCTTCCTGAAATAAAACATAATTAGATGAATAGTAAGGCGACATCCTAAAGAGAAATAAAATCTAACTACTGGAAATTAAAGAGCCAGAGTGAAAGGATTGAGCTGGAAGAGAAAATGAGATAAGGTCATGGGTGTTTTATGTCGACATCTCACTTACCAACCCAACAAAGGTTTCATTGCTGCTTTAGGACACGTTCAGAGAAAGAAGATCACTTAGATCGTTAATCCACTCTGTTATTGCAGTCAAAGTCCCCCCAACAAAGCTTCAGGCCCAGGAGGAGCGCTGTAGACTGAGAGTCTAAATATCCAACAAAACCACAATCAGCCGTGTTTTTGCCCGGAAGGAAAAGTCTGCTCATATTCTGAATTCAAAGTTCTGAAAGTACTTTAAATATGAAATATTAAAAAATTTCATCTGAATGTGCTTTACTGGAGGCATCCATGTTTG